AAAAAAAAAAAAAAAAGGTATGTGCCCTGACTGGAAATTGAGCCAACAACCTTTTGGTGTACAGGAAGACACTCCAACCAGCTGAGCCACCCGGCCAGGGCAGGAAAGACATTTAAAAAATATATTTGAGCCTGTTGGATGGCAATACATTCTGAGCAAAAAATAAAGTAGAGAACAGGGCTGGGAGATGTTGGGGGGTGTGGGCTGTGGCTTTACACAGGGCGTCAAGGGAGGCCATGCTGAGCAGATGGCATGTGACAGCCGGGAGATGTTGAACAGGCAGCCTGGGCATAGGGAGATCTTGTGAATCCAACCTGTGGGTCAAGATCTTTAGGACCCTGACTCCCTTACTCTTTAGGACCCTCAAAGGAGGACTACGATGCAAGGGTGAGCACATGGCTGCTTCCTGGCACTCGCAGCAAAGGGGGATTGCAATTTGTCTCCAATCCAGCAGATCTTGGCCGTTTCTGTGTGCAGAATCCCTGTTGAGAAGTTCTTAAAAGTTCTAGAAAGTTCTGGAACACCGCTCCCTGGAGATACACCTAATTCAGAGGCCTCTGGAACCCCCACAGATGGCACTATCAAGGCTCAGAGAAGGTGAGTGCCTGGCGCCACACAGCAGCACTGTCGCCCCTCCCCCAATCCCCAACTATGAAGAAAGTGCGGTTTTCTTCGCTGTTGCGTCATAATGAATAGCAGATGGGAAGTCTGATAAGGTCCTCCAACCCCACCCCTGTCTGGCCACTGAGGCACGGAGGCCCGGGACTATCCACTCACCCCCAGTGGTTGGCCCTGAGGAGGTCAGGGTGACTTCCCACTGCCAGGCAGGTGAAAAAAAGCATAAATCAGTCTGAGCGGGGCAGGGCTGGGAGGACAGCACAGAACAGAAATAACCAGCTAGGCAAAAGGAGAAGGCCAGGCTGAGTCACAGAGCAGAGAGCGGACGGAAGTGCAGAGACACGCAGGAGCACGAGGGCCACCTTCCCTGGGCATCTGCCTGCTGCCCATTGCCAGCGTGTCACAACAGGACCAGGTGTCAGCCCCTGGTCTAACACCTTCCGTGGCTCTCACTGACCTCAGAAAAACCACCTGCTCCCTGGATGCCCACTAGGGCCGGGCCTCTGAATTTCTCCAGCTTCAAAACAAATCTCCCTTCCAGTTCCCCAAAAAGGCAGATGGGTTCTTTCCACATACCAGGTGCCAGTGGGGACATTTGTCACATTTTAGTTCATTAGGTGAGCATGTTTGAAACACACACACACACAGAAAACATGAATATCTAACCTAATCAGTTCTTGTGAACCCTATGGCCATATGACCCCCAGCCAGGCCAAGACTAAGGACATCATCAACCCCATCAGGGTCCCCAGGTACCCTTTCCAACAGAAACTGCCTCCTTTCACCTGGCAGTCACCACTGCTCTTCTACAGTATTTTTATGTTTGAGGGGTATACTTTTTGGCAATAAGATTTATTTAATTTTTTGTTTTTAAAAGTACATGGCACTGTCTTCACTTTCTTTGATATTTGACTATGAGTTTTGACACGTGTACAGAGTCATGTAAATAATCAGTGAGAGTTGACAGAAGATAATTCCCTCCCCCTGAAAAACTCCCTCCTTTGTAGAGCCAGACTCTCGCCACACCCCTAGCCCCTGGAAACCATAGATCCACTCTTTGTTGCTACAACTTTTAAAATCCTTTTGCTCCCGGCCAGGTGCGGCTCAGCGGTTGAGCGTCAACCTAGGATCCAAGCGATCAGGGTTCAATTCCTGGTCAGGGCACATGCCCGGGTTGTGGGCTCGATCAATGACTCTCTCTCATCATTGATGTTTCTATCTCTCTCCCTCTTCTTTCCTCTCTCTGAAATCAATAAAGATATATTTTACAAAAATAAAATAAAATAAAATAAAATAAAATCCTTTTGCAAATGTGATATAAATGGAATCACACATAATGTGGCTTTTGAGACCGGCTTCTTTCATTTAGCATTTGGAACGTGTCTGTGCAGTTGGGTGTATGAGGAGCCCATCCCTTTTGACTGCTGAGCAGTTTTCCGTTGTGTACGTGCGTCACTATTCATTCACAAAAGGACATTTGGGTTGGCTCCAGTTTGGGAACATCATTACTAGTGCTGCTATAAACATACATATTCGGGTGTCATATGAACAACCGGTGTTCATTTTACTTGAGTAAATCCTTACAAGTGGGATTGCTGGGTCCTAGGATAACTGTATGTTTAACTTGGTAAGAAACTGCTGACCAGTTTCCCACTCCCTGCCAGCACTTGGTTGTCTATATATATATAATTATTATTTTTCATCATGTTCCTTATTATATGTATCAAAACTCATATTGGCCTGGCCAGTGTGGCTCAGTGGTTGAGCATCGACCCATGAACCAGGAGGTCACAGTTCAGTTCCCGGTCAGGGCACATGCCCCGGTTTTAGGCTCGGTCCCCAGCAGGAGGCATTGGGTCAATGACTCTCTCATCACTGATGTTTCTCTCTCTCTCCCCCTCTCCCTGCCTCTCTTTGAAATAAAAAAACAAAACACAAAACACAAAAAAACACCTCATACTGAACAATGAGTTCTAGGTTGCAAAAGAGGCTTTATTTTTCACACCTGTATGCAGTCTTTGTCCGCAAATTAAACAAAACAAACACAAGTGCTACATATTTTTTCTTTTAGCCGATGGCGTCTCATTGTGGATTTAACCTGCAAATCCCCAATTGATTAATGATGTTGAATATCTTTTCACGTGTTCATATGTTATCTGTATCTTCTTTGGTGAACTGTCTATTCAAATTTTACCATTTCTTTTAGTAGGTTGTCTTCCTATTACTATGTTTTGAAAATTCTTTATATATTCTGCATACAAGTCCTTTACTGGGCAAGTGGTTTGCAAATATTCTCTCCCAGTCTGTGGTTTGGTTTTCCATCCTTTTCATCTTTTTGTGTCCTTTGCGGAGCAAAAGTTTTTAATTTTTATAATGTTCAATTTATCTTTTTTTTTCTTCTTTATAGATTATGCTTGTGGTACTTTCTATAAGAACTCTTTGCCAAACCCAAGGCCACAAAGATGTTTTGTTTTCTTCTAGGAATTTTATTGTTTTATATTTACATTTACATTTAGATCTGTGATCCATTTTGAGTTAATTTTTGTATAGGTCAAGGTTCTTTCTTTCTTTCTTTTTTAACAATTGGAACTTTTTATTTATTTATTTACTTTTTAACCCTCACCCGAGGATATTTTTTCTGTTGCTTTTCAGAGACAGTAGAAGGGAGGGAGAGAGAGAGAAACAGCAACATGAGAGAGACACATCAATTGGTTGCCTTCCCCACTCACCCCAACCAGGGCTGGGGATCGAGCCTGCAACCAAGTTACATGCCCTTGGCTGGAATCGAACCCAGGACCCTTCAGTCTGCAGGCTGACGCTCTAACTGCTGAGCCAAACCAGTTAGTGCTAAGGTTCTTTCTTTATATGCGTGTCGATATTCACCCCTTATTATTTTTTTTTATTGTTGTGGCCCTAGCTGGTTTGCTCAGTGGTTAGAGCGTCGGCCCTCGGACTGAAGGGTCGCAGGTTTGATCCTGGCCAAGGGCACGTACCTCAGTTGCAGGCTTGTTCCCCGGCCCTGGTCGGAGCGCGTGTGGGAGGCAACCAATCAGTGTGTCTCTCTCACACTGATGTTCTCTCTCTCTCCCACTCCCTCTGAAAAGCAGTGGAAAAAATATCCTCAAGTGAGGATTAAAAAAAAATCTTAGAAATTTTTTTTTTATTGCTGACACTTGCAGATGTCCCTGTCCCCCCCACTTTGCCCACCTCCACTCAGCAGCGCCCCCTGGCCCTCACCACACTGTTGTCCCTGGGCTATGCATATATGTTCCTTGGCTAATCTCTTCACCTTCCTTTATCCAGCCCCCCACCCGCTCCCCTCTGACATGTGTCAGTCTGATCCATGCATCCCTGCCTCTGGTTTTATTTTATTCATCAGTTTATTTTGTTCATTAGATTCCACATATGAGTGAGATTACGTGGTACTTGTCTCTCTCTGCCTGGCTTACTTCGCTTAGAGTAATACTCTCCAGGTCCATCCATACTGTCCCAAAGGGTCCGAGGGCCTTCTTCTTTACAGCTGCGTAGTATTCCATGGTGTGAATGCCCCACAGCTTTTCTGTCCACTCAGCTACTGATGGGCGCCTGGGCTGTTTCCAGATCTTAGCTATTGTCAACTGCGCTGCTATGAACATAGGGGTGCATAAGTTCTTTCTGATTAGTGCTTCAGGATTCTTAGGATATATTCCTAGAAGTGGAATCACTGGGTCAAATGGCAGCTCCATTTTTAATTTTTTGAGGACCCTCCATGGTGTTTTCCACAGCGGCTGCCCCAGTCTGCGCTCCCACCGGCAGTGCACCAGGGCTCCCCTTTCTCCACACCCTCCCAGCACTTGTTGCTTGTTGATTTATTGATAGTAGCCGTTCTGACAGGTGTGAGGTGATACCTCATTGTAGTTTTTTTTAATTGTTGACTCTATTACAGATGTCTCCCATTTTCATTTGCATCTCCCTCGTGGTTAGTGACCTTGAGCACTTTTTCATGCCTCTTGGCCATCTGCATGTCCTCTTGGGAGAAGTGTCTATTCAGGTCCTTTGCCGTTTTTAATTTGGGTTATTTGTCTTCCTGGTGCTGAGTTGTATAAGTTCTTTATATATTTCAGAGACTAACCCCTTATCAGGCGAATCATTGGTGAATGTTCTCCCATACAGCAGGCTCCCTTTTCGTTTTGTTGATGGTTTCTCTTGCTGTGCAGCCAGCACCCTTCATTGAAAAGACTGTCCTCCTTTCTCCATTGAATTTTGCCAAAGATCATTTCACCTTATTTGTGTATTTGCTTGATGGTTTTGCCTAGATCTTCTATATTCTTGCTAATATTCTGTCACTCATCCTATTGACTGCTGAGGGGAGCGTTGAAGAATAATCGTAGATTTGTCTATTTCTCCTTTCAGTTCTATTATATTTTGGGTGTGCATATTTAGAATCATATGTCCTCTTGGTGAATTCTTTTATATAATGTCCTTCTTTACCTCCTTGCTTTTCTTTATAAATTTACAACCAAATTAAGTAACCCTAAAAATTGTATTTATTTTCTGCCATTTTAGAACTTGATATAAATGGAACTGCACAAGGATGCTGGTGTGTCCAGTTTCTGTCTATCACCTGTTATGATTGTGTAATAAATCCACACTGGTGCAGGTGGTTGTAGTTCATTAATTCTCATTGCCTTATCACTATTTTCTATTTATTTTTAAAAATTAGATGTAACTCACATATTCACCTACTCATCCATTCTCTTTTTCTTATCAATATCCCTATTTTTAAAAATTAGATATAATTGACATATATTAGTTTCAGGTGTACAACACAATGATTCAGTATTTGTATATACTGTGAAATGATCACCACAATAAGTCTAGTTAACATCCATAACCACACAGTTACAATTTTCTTCTTGTGATGGGAAGTTTTGAGATCTACTCTCTTTGAACTTTTAAATGTGCAATGCAGTATTATTACCTACAGTCACCATGCTGTACTAGTGATCCAATCTACTATTGAGGGGGACTTAGTTAAATTTCACTTTGGGGCTGACATGAGCAGAGCAGCTATGCACAATTGATCCATGCCTTTTGGCGACCACATGTGACTTTCTGTGGATAAATACCCAATTGTGGAACTGCTGGGTTATAAGGTATTTCCCAGATATTAGGTATCTTTTGCCAAAGTGCACACACTAATTTACACCCCTGCTACCTCTGGGGAGTTCTTATAGAACTAAACTTATTCCAATCCAAAGATTCTCCTTTATTCAGAAAAGATGCACTCCTTGCAGCTTCTCTGTTATTAAAAATGTTCCTTCTGTTTAATGAAGAATTGGCTATTTACATTTTTTCAAAGTATTTCCCACTCCTCGGGTGATAGGATTATTTGCCACAGAGGGCCACAAGTTGTGTCTCTCCCTGGACCCTACCCTTGGCCACACCCAAGGCATTGCCCCACCCCCACCCCAAGAGTGGCCCAAGGCTGGAATACAAAGGTCCACCACCCTCCTTTCATTAACTGATGAGCTATTTTTTGGATTTGGATAAGACAAAAAGTCTCCATCCAGCAATCCCACCTCTGGGTATATATCCAAAAGAATAGAAAGCAGGGACTCAAACAGGTACTTGCATACCCATGTCCAAAGCAGCACTATTCACAGTAGCCAAAAGGTGGAAACAGACTAAGTGTCCACTGCTGGCCAGCAGGTCCAGCTTCCTGAACATAGGAACCTGGCTCAGAATGGTTTTGGTCTTGAAATTCTCCTAATTTTGAAACAAGAGCCATACATTTTCTTTTTGCCCCGACCCTACCTGACTGGACTGGTGCCAAGACCCGGGAAGCCCTGGCCTACCATCAGGGAAAAGGGCTGGCTTCTCCCTGCCTCATTTCCCATGTGGAACCGGGGTGATGACAGGACCTCCCCTTGGAGGGTGCCTGATAGAGCCAGCAGGTGGGTGGGACAGCAAGAGAGCGGCCCCAGCTGGACAGAGAGGGCATAAATCTAGGTGACATCCAGGTGCACGGGCGGCCTCAACCAGGCTCCCTTCCCAAACCAACCCCCCAAACCCTGAGCCTTCACTTCGCCCAGCCCCCTCTAACCTGGCCCGGAGTTCCCATCCTCACCTGTCACAGTATGTCCTCCCCGCGTCAGCCACCAGAGGGCACCTGTGAGCACTCGAGTCAGGTCCTGCATCCACCTTCCCCAGTCTGTCCCCACAGCAGGCACCCTCTGGTGCCTGCAGGGACCGAGTCAGGTCCCGTCCTTCCTCTGCCCACAGCCCTCCAGCATACCTACTTCACTCAGAATAAAATCCTAAATCCTCTCTGTGACCCACAAGGCGCTGCACAACCTGCCCCTGTCCCCTCCCTGTCCTCACCTCCTCCCTCTCTCCCCTTCGCTCACTTTGTGCCAGCCACACAGGCCTCCTCGCTGTTCCTTCAACATGCCAGGTACAGTCCTGCCCCATGGCCTTTGCACAGGCGGTTTCCTCTGCTTGGAAAGCCCTTCCCTCAGGCCACAGCATGGCTCCTTCTTTTCAGGTCTTCTCAGAAAGGCCTTTCCTGAAAAGCCTGTCTGAAGTGGCCACTTGCTCATCCCACTTCCCGGCTCTGCTTTTTCTTCATAGGTTAAGTCAGGGTGACAAGTACTG